CACAACCTAACCATGTTGACACAGGAAATTAACATCACACACTCAGTCAGCAAATATTTATTGAGTACTTCCTAAGGGCCTGGTTCTATTCTGATACAGACCTTCCATCCAAGCCATTACATTTCCATGTTGAAGACACACAGCACATTCAATGACAAGACAGCATGAAAAGTATAAGGCTGACAGGCTTAGGAGCCATATAAAGGGCGTCAAATTCAGCCACAGTACTTGCAGACACCATTAGGAGAAAAATAATGATGGAACCAAATTTTGAAGGATGAGAAGGAGTTATTGAGCTGTGCAGGATAAAGAGGGGGAATAAATTCAAGAGTAAAAATTATCTGTATAAAAAAAAAGATGCAGGTGCATTGGGTTTGTTTGGAGTAAAGGATGCAACTATGGCAAAAAAAAAAAAAGAGCCAAATAAGTGGTGACCAGATGCTAGAACACAAAAGATTTTATGTGCCAAGTCACAGTAATCTGAACCGTATCCTGAAGGCTATGAGACTTCATCTACAAGAAATTGTGTGATAAAATTAGCACATCCGAAAGATAGTCTTAACTGCAGAGCTACAATTACAGAGTTGGGAAAATAGGAGAGCACAACGTTTGGAATTTAAGGATGGGGAGTTACATAAAATAGAGACCAATTTGGAGAGTTACAGAAAAATGCAATATTGAAAAGATAAAGATTAATAAGGAGATTTCAGGAAGTAGAATCAAAAGGATGCAGTAATTAATTGATGTGCATTGTGGGAAATAGAGACATATATGGCAACTTCACATTTGAGGTTTGTATAAATAAAAACATGCCGGTGCCCTATCATAGATCTTGGTTAAAGAAGTAAAACATAATGTATAGGGAAGAATAAAGTGAAAGGGGTTAAAGTGAATATCTTAGCAGCTACTATAACATCTTTCTACATCAGGAGATGGTGAAAACAATTTCACAGATATCTCCCTCGTCTTTTAAAGTTCCTCATACAGGGTCAAACCAAGGTTTGTGTAGAACACAACAACCTGTCTAACAACAAAAATTACACTTTAGAGTAAATTTGGTACTTAATTCTTATTTGCAAAAAAATTACTCTTCTAAAGTTATTTTTGTTACCTCAAAAGACACTCCAAAATTAATAACGGATAAAGTGATAAGTACGGGACTAGTGGAGTACCTGCCCAGAACTTGAAAACAAAATTACCCTACAAATGACAAAGTAATAAAAACAGCACATAATGGCTTCAGCCCCAGTGCCACACCAGACCTCCCAAGCTACAGGGCCTATGGGCTCCTCATCTATCAATGTAAGGCTCTCCCAGCCACCAAAATCATGGGACACTGCAACCACTGCCATAGCCCCCTAGATATGGTAGCCTCCACCATGGGACACCAGACAGGGCCTCGAGGTAGCCACCCACTTCACAACACTACATCCGCCACAATGCTATGTCTCCCAACAGGCTGCCCAACACCACTGTGCAGCCTGCCCTTGCTGCCCCATCTCTGAAAGCAATTGCCTCCGTCGGGATACCTCTGCTGCCACCATCGCCATCCTTAGTTGGGGCAGCTTCCATCTTGGGACAGCAGCCAGGGCCTAGAAGCCCAACATCAAGGAATCTATGGTCTCCCAACCCCCTGCCCCAGCCACCAAGCCAACCTGTAGCTCTCAACACCTGTTCCTGACCTGCCCAGTTAAGAAAATCTGTCCACAACAGATGCACAGATCCTGGAGCTCAGCCTTCAGAACCTCTGGAGAGCAAGGTTCATGATTGTGAAGTCGAGAGGGCAAGGCTGAGAGAAATACAATTTTGAGACTAAATTAGAGACTAAAAATTAGGGGTTCAGTATGCAACATAAGAGGCTATGACCAGGCTCTCACGTCACAGGAGTAGACTCCAAAGGAGATTGCTGGGGTACAGTCTGCCAACAGGGACCCACAATTGCTATACCCCCACTTCCAGGAGTTCTATCTTCAAGTCTCCAACCCTCCCAACCTAGTAACCTTCACCATCCTGAGGGCAAAGATACCAGCAAACTCCTGAAAACCCTACCTAGCAGATGAGAAGGGAAGAAAGGAAGACATTGAACCCCAACAGAAACAATCCTTCAATTTTCCTTTGAGATTTTTTTTCTTTCTTTTCCCATCCTCACATCCACAACATTTGTGAAACCAAGTACTTTTCATGCATCAGGTTACTGAGGATTGGGATGTCTGAATAGTATATTACAGTTTTGCTTAATATTCTTTGATTTTTTAAAATTTTTTTTAAAATTCTTTTTTTCTTATTTTATTTTTAAAAATCTATTTCTTTCTTTCTGTTTTTAACTTTCTACATATTTTCCTCTCACTTATTTGTTTCCCTGGAGTCTCTGTCTCTTTTCTCCTGCTAACAGCCAACTTATTTTGATTCCTCTTTCACACTTCCTATCTAATACATCTATGTGCTCACCTCCTACCTCATAAACATCTCATCCTATACCCCTCCCCATTCTCTCTTTTTCCACCATTAGAAATTGAGATCCTTTTGCAACCTACTGTTCATATTGTAAGTAATCAAACACATTAATTTTGTTTATTGTGACAAAACTGTAAACATCTTAATAGTAGATATTTGGTCTAAGGCTGCATATTGTTTGCATTGAGTGCTGTTAATATTGATCTCCCCCTTAAAGGTTTTGGAAACTGCACAGACACTATTAGTCTATAGGGTAGAAATGTAATACCTCAGATCTGCACTGTTAGAGGCAAGACACATGAACAACATGAAAAAAAAAAAACAAGGAAAGAAAGGGCCCCAAACAAACCAAGCTGCTACAATAATAGAATACATTGACAGCACAGTAGAAGAAATGTAAGACAAGGAGTTCAAGACAGACTCAGTGGAGCATGCCTGTAATCCCAGTGGCTTGGTAGGTTGAGGCAGGAGGATCACAAGTTTAAAGACAGCCTCAGCAAAACCAAGGTGCTAAGCAATTCAGTGAGACCCTGTCTCTAAATAAAATACAAAAATAGGGCTGAGGATGTGGCTTAATGGTCTAGTACCCCTGATCAATCCCCAGTACCCCGCCCCAAAAAAGGAGTTAATCATCATAACCAATTTAAAAACTCAATAGAAAGCATCACCAACAAACTAGATCACTTGGAAGACAGAACCTCAGGCAATGAAGACAAAATACATAATCTTGAAAATAAAGTTGATCACACAGTGAAGATGGTAGGAAAACATGAATAGAACTTCCAAGAATTTTGGAATAACATGAAAAGACCAAATTTAAGATGTAGCAGGATAGAGGAAAGCACAGAGATTCAAACACAATGAAATAATAATATTTCTCAATTAAATAATATCAGACAATTTCCCAAACCTAAAGAATGAAATGGAAAATCAAATACAAGAGGCTTATAGGACATCAAATATACAAAATTATAGCAGATTCACACCAAGGCACATTATAATAAAAATGCCTAGCATAGAGAATAAGTATAGAATTTTAAAGACTGCAAGAGAAAAGTATTAAATTACACATAAGAGGAAACCAATTCAAATCTCAACATATTTCTCAACCCAGATCCCCAAAGCTAAAAGGTACTAGAACAACATATACCAAGCTCTGAAGAAAAAAAAAAAGATGCCAACCAAGAATCTTAGATCCAGCAAAATTAAGCTCCAGATTTGATAAACAAAAGTTAAAAGAATTTACAGTGAGAAAGTCTTCACTACAGAGCATCCTCAGCAAAATATTCCAGGAGGAGGAAATGAAAAAGAACAATGAAAATTAGCAAAAGGAGAAAGTACACTAAAGGGAAAGTCAATCAAAGGAGAAACCAAGTCAAATTAAAAATAAAAAATAAACGAAAATGACTGGGAACACAAATAATATCTCAATAATAACCCTGAATATTAATGGCCTAAATTCATCAATCAAAAGACATAGACTGGCAAAGTAGATTAAAGAAGAAGACCCAACAAGATACTGCCTTCAAGAGACTCATCTCATAGGAAAAGACACCCACAGACTAAAGGACTGAAGTATGGGAAAGAATATATCACTCACATGGACTGCATAAACAAACAGGGGTTTCCATCCTCATATCAGATAACGTGAACTTCAAGCCAAAGTCAATCAGAAAACAAAGAAGGACATTTCATACTGCTTAAGGGAATCATACATCAACAAGACATAACAATCATAAATATTTATGCCTAAGCCATAGAGCATATAAGTACATCAAACAAATCCTCCTCAATTTCAAGAATCAAATAGACCACAACATAATAATAGTGGGTGACTTTAACACACCAATGGATTATTCTAAAAAAAAAAAAAGAAGAAGAAGGAAAAAAAAGAAAAGAAAAGAAACTATAGAACTCAGTAGCACAATCAATAATTAAGACTTAACATATATAGAATATTTCATACATCAAAGAGCAAATGCATTTTCTTCTCAGTAGCACAAGAATCCTTCTCTAAAACAGACCGTATGTTATGACATAAAGCAACTCTTAGCAAATACTAAAAAAAAAAGAGAGAGATTCTACCTTGCCTTTTATTGGCTCATAATGTAATGGAATTAGAAATTAATAACAAAATAAAAAATAGACACTACTCCAACACCTGGAGACTAAAATAATACACCATTGAATGACCAATGGATAGCAGAAGGCATAAGGGAGGATATTAAAAAAAATTCTTAGAGGTAATTGAGAACACTGTACAACACTTCACAATCTTTGGGACACTAGGAAAGTTCATTGTGTTGAGCTTATTTATTTAAAAAATAATAAATAAAAGTCAACAATTAAATGACCTAACATTAAATCTCAAACCCTAGAAAAAGAAGAAAACATCAGCACCCAAAGAAGTAGTCGACAATTTGAACGTGCAGGGTGGGGTGAAGGTTGGACCCGGTAGGGAAGGGTGTGCTGAGCGAGCCCCTGAGTCTGAGTGCTTCCGTTTGTAGCAGAGGGATCTCCACACCAGCGGTGGGGAGCCCGTCAAAGGTAAGCTTTGTCCATGGTGGAGTAGGTCCTGCGGGATCCTGCGCTGGGTCTCCGACATGCGGACCCAGTTGCTCTGGGACTGGAGCCCGAGCCAGCCCGCTGAGGCAGAATGTGAAAGAACAGCGCAATCACCGAACTCTGCCGCTGCGCCAGCAAGTCCTGGGCGGACCCCTCTGAACCAGGTGTTACCATGGTGATGGCTGTGCAGGACAACATGGTTCAGGTGGTGGTGCGGGTGCGACCCCCCACCTCTCGGGAGTTGGAGAGTCAGCGGTGGCCTGTGGTTCAAGTGGTGGATGAGCGGGTGCTGGTGTTTGACCCTGAGGAACCTGATGGGGGCCTCAAATGGGGTGGTACTCATGACGGCCCCAAGAAGAAGGGCAAGGACCTGACATTTGTCTTCGACCGGGTCTTTGGTGAGAAGGCCACCCAACAGGACATGTTCCAGCACACCACGTGCAGAATCCTGGACAGCTTCCTCCAGGGCTACAACTGTTCAGTGTTTGCCTATGGGGCTACTGGGGCTGGGAAGACACACACCATGCTGGGAAAGGAGGGGGACCCTGGCATCGTGTACCTGACCACCATGGAACTGTACAGGCGTTTTGAGGCCTGCCAGGAGGAGAAGCAATTCGAGGTGCTCATCAGCTACCTGGAGGTGTACAATGAACAGATCCATGACCTCCTGGAGCCCAAGGGACCCCTAATCATCCGTGAGGACCCTGACAAGGGCGTGGTGGTGCAAGGACTTTCTTTCCACCAGCCAGCCTCAGCTGAGCAGCTTCTGAAGATGCTGACCAGGGGGAACCACAACCGCACCGAGCACCCCACAGATGCCAATGCTACTTCCTCCCGCTCCCATGCCATCTTCCAGATCTTTGTAAAGCAACAGGACCGAGTCCCAGGACTCACTCAGGCCCTGCAGGTGGCCAAGATGAGCCTGATTGACCTGGCTGGCTCAGAGCGGTCATCCAGTAGCGGTGCCAAGGGGGAGCGACTGCGGGAGGGTGCCAACATCAACCGTTCTTTGCTGGCCCTCATCAATGTCCTCAATGCCCTGGTGGATGCAAAGGGCCGCAAGTCTCACGTGCCCTACCGAGACAGCAAACTGACCCGCCTGCTGAAGGACTCCATTGGGGGCAACTGTCGCACAGTGATGATTGCTGCCATCAGCCCCTCTAGCCTGGCCTACAAGGACACTTACAACACCCTCAAATATGCTGACCGGGCCAAAGAGATCAGACTCACCCTGAAGAGCAACGTGGTCAGTCTGGACTGTCACATCAGCCAGTATGCCACTGTCTGCCAGCAGCTCCAGGCTGAGGTGGCCTCCCTAAGGAAGAAGCTTCAAGCCTATGAGGCAGGAGCCCAGGCCCCACAGCAGGGCCTCCCACAGCCCCCCAAGTTGAGCCCTCAACAGCAACACCTTCCTAGCTCCCCTTTACTGTCCCTTCCCCGCAGCCAGCCCTGGACCCCAAAACTCCACATGGGTTCTGGAGATCTTCAAGCGGGGAACCTGGGGACAGAGGCCCAGGAACAGAGGGTCATAGAAGAAAGCTCTTTAGACCAGGAGAAGATCCCAGAGGATAAGGACGAAGACCCTACTGAGGTTCCAACCCAGACACTGGAGCAGAACCTCAGACCCCCACTGTCAGAGTCTGCTGGTCTGACCCTGCAGCCTAAGCCAGTGGCCAGCCACCTATCACCACAGAACCTGGATGGGGATCGTTATAAACACTTGGCCCTGCAGGTGCTGTGCCTGGCCCAGAAACAGTATTCCCTGCTGCAGGCAGCCAACCTCCTGACCCCTGACATGATTACTGAGTTCGAGACCATGCAGCAGCTGGTGCAAGAAGAGAAAGCCGAGCCTGGAGACAAGACCTCCAGGACTCCTGGCCGGGCTGGGCGGGCCTCTCTGACCCAGGAGCTGTGTTCAGCCTCAAAGTCTCCAGGGTACTGTGGCCCTGTGACCAAACAATGGCAAGAAGATTGAGTGGCCTCATGCACACTCTGGGGATCCCACCTGAGCCTGATTGCACCCCAGCCTCAGCATCCCGATAGCCCACAGAGAAGAAGAAGAGAAAGAGCACAAGCCTCCCAGAGCCAGACAGTCCCCTAGCCCCAAAGCTGCCGACCAAGCGCCAGTGCCAGTGTACATGTTCATTTGTGAGTGTTAATGCGTTAATATTTAAAGGTTGCTGCCTGTTTCCCCCTCATTTCCAAAGCCCACCATCAGGCCAGGGGCTCTTTTGGGCTCTGTTCCCTACCCATGTCTAACACAGAGCTCTGTGCAGGGATACCTGTTGCCTCAGTGGAGGGTGAGGCCGGTGGGGGTGTTCTAGGGAGTCACATCTTGGCTCTTCATGGTTTCTGAGAGGGGAATCTTTAGCCCCACCCTGGCCCCTGTCCTGGTTATGATGGAGCTAATGATGGTGCCTTGATTTACAGAGGAAGCCAACTTTATTAATCTTTACCTATTATACATAAAAAGTATAAGAAGAAAGGAGAATGAATGCAGCCTTAATGTTACCACTCAGGTATAAATGCTAGTGATTCCAGGATTTACACCCTCCTGCTTCTTGATTTATGCATATATATGTGTGTGTGCGTATGTATGTGTATATATATATATATATATATATATACATACATACGCACACACATACCCACATTTACACACATATATGATGTATTTTTACTATAATAATTAATAAACCATTTCCATCCTTAAAAAAAAGAAGTAGTAGACAGGAAATAATTAAAATCAGAGCTGAAATCAATAAAATTGAAACAAAAAAAAGAAACAATTCAAAAAATTAAAAGATGGTTTCTTGAAAAAATAAATAAAATTGATAAACCCTTAGGCACACTAATAAAGAGAAGTAGAGAGGAAACTCAAAATTACTAAATTTGTGATTTAAAAAAGGAAATATCATGATGGACAGTATTGAAATAAAGATGATAATCAAACTATTTTGAAAATTTATACTCCAGTAAAATAGAAAATCTCAAAGATATTGACAAACTTCTAGAGACATATGACCTAATCAAACTGAATCAGGAGAACATAAACAATTTAAACAGATTGATTTTAAGCAATGTAATTGAAGACACAATCAAAAACCTAGCAACTAAGAAAAGCCCAGGACCAGAGAAATTCTTAGCTGAGTTCTTGAAGCCCTTTAAAGAAGAATTAACATCAATACTTTTCAAATTATTCCATGAAATAGAAAAACAGGGAGTCATTCCAAACTCATTCTATGAAGCTAGTATCACCCTGATAACAAAACCAGGCAAAGGCACATCAAGGAAAGAAAACTTCAGACCAATATCCATGATGAATATAGATGTAAAAATTGTCAACAAAATTCTGACAAATTGCATATAAAAACATATTAAAAAGATGGTGCAACACAATCAAGTTCGACATACAGAAATCAATAAATGTAATTCACCATATCAATAGAATTAAAGATAAGAATCATGATCACCTAAAGAGATGCAGAGAAAGTATTTAACAAAATTTAGCACCCACTCCTGTTCAAAACACTGGAAAAGCTAGGGATAGTAGCAATATATCTCAACATTGTAAAAGCTATCTATGCTAAACCCAAGGCCAGTATAATTCTAAATGGAGAAAAATTGAAAACATTCCCTCTAAGAACTGGAACAAGACAGGAATGCCCTCTTTTACCACTTCTATTCAACATAGTCCTATCCATAGCAATTTATCTGACCAAAGAAAAATTAAAGGGATATGCAGAGAAAAAGAAGAACTGTCACTATTTGCCTACAACATGGTTCTATATTTAGAGGATCCAAAAAATTCCACCAGCAAACTTCTAGCACTAATAAAGGAATTCAGCAAAGTGACAGGATATAAAATCAACACCTATAAATCAAATGTATTTCTATACGTCAGTGATGAATCCTCTGAAAGAGAAATTAGGAAAATTACCCCATTTACAATAGCCTCAAAAAATAAATAAAAACAAAACACTTGGAAATCAATCTATCAAAAAGGTGAAAGACCTCTACATGAAAACTACAGAACTCTAAAGAAAGAAACTGAAGAAGACCTAAGAAAATGGAAAGATTTCCCTTGTTCTTGGATAGGCAGAATTAATATTGTCAAAATGGCCATACTACCAAAAGCATTATACAAATTTAATCCAATTACAATTAAAATTCCAACAACATTCCTCATAGAAATAGAAAAAGCAATCAATCATGAAGTTCATTTGGAAAAATAATAGACTCAGAATAGCCAAAGCAATCCTTAACAAGAAAAGTGAAGCAAGGGGCATCACAATATCACATCTTAAACTATACTACAGAGCAATGGTGACAAAACCAGCATGGTATTGACACCAAAATAGACATGAAGACCAATGGTACATATAGAAGACACAGAGACAAACCCACATAAATACAGTTATCTCATACTAGACAAAGGCACCAAAAACATACACTGGAGAAAAGATAGTGTCTTCAACAAATGGTGCTGGGAAAAGTGGAAATCTATATGCAGAAAAATTAAATTAAATCCTTATCTTTTTTTTAAAGAGAGAGAATTTTAATATTTATTTTCTTTAGTTTTCGGCGGACACAACATCTTTGTTTGTATGTGGTGCTGAGGATTGAACCCAGGCTGCACACATGCCAGGCGAGCGCGCTACCGCTTGAGCCACATCCCCAGCCCAAAATCCTTATCTTTTACCCTGCACAAAACTCAAAGTGGATCAAGGACCCAGAAATTAAACCAGAGACCCTGCATCTAACAGAAGAAAGAGTAGGTCCAAATTTTCAACATGTTGGCTTAGAAACTGACTTTCTTAAGAAGACTCCTAATGTGCAAGAAATAAAAATAAGAATCAATAAATTGGATAATTCAAACTAAAATGTTTCTTCTCAGCAAAGGAAACAATTAAGAACATGATGAGAGAGGCTACAGAATGGGAAAAAATCTTTACCACACACACATCAGGTAAAGCACTAATTTGCAAGATATATATAGAACTCAAAAACTTAACACTAAAAAAACAAATAACCCAATCAATAGATGTTCAATGGAACTGAGCAAACACTTCATAGAAGATATACAATTGATCAACAAATATATGAAAAAAGGTACATATCTAGCAATTAGAGAAATACAAATCAAAATTACTCAGATTTTGTCTCACTCCAGTCAGAATGGTAGTTATTAAAAATACAAGTAACAATAAGTGTTGGTGAGAACGTGGGGCGGGGAGTACACTCATATATTGCAGGTGGGATGGCAAATTGGCACAACCACTCTAGAAAGCAGTATGGAGATTCCTTAGAAAACTTGGAATGGAACCACCATTTGACCCAACTATCCCACTCCTAGGTCATTACCCAAAGGATTTAAAATCAGCATACTACAGTGATGTAGCCACATCCATGTTGATAGTAGCTCAATTCAGAATAGCTAAACTGTGGAACCAAGCTAGATGCCCCTCAGTGGATAAATGAATAAAGAAACTGATATATACACATACATACACTATGGAATACTAATAATCCTTAAAGAGGATTGAAATTATGGCATTTGCAGGTAAATGGATGGAGTTGGAAAATATCATGCTAAGTGAAGTAAGCCAATCCCAAAAAACTAAAAGCCAAATGTTTTCTCTGGTAAGTGGATGCTGATCCATAATGGGGTAGGGGTGCATGGGAAGAATGGAGAAATTTTATTTAGGCAAAGGGGAGGGAGTTGAAGTGAAGGGGCCTGCAGGTAGGAAATATGGTGAAATGAAACAGACATCATTACCCTAAGTACATGTATGATGACACGAATGGTGTGACTCTGCTTCTTGTACAACTAGAGAAGTAAAAATTTGTGCTCCATTTGTGTACAATGAGTCAAATAGCATTCTTCTGTCAAGTATAACTAATTAGAACAAATAATTTTTAAAATGCACATAGTGAAGCATATCCAAAATATGCAAAATCTTAAATAGAACAAGACTATATTTAAGACTATATACAATGTGTTCATTCAGATACTTTTTAGAATTGGAAATAGAGCAAATATAAGTTGGTGTTGTGGAAGTAAACATAGGTGGGGTCCATTTAATAGTTATCCAAGAACAAGGATGCCCAGTGAAAATAGTCTTTTTGCTTTCTATATTCCTAATACTGAGAAGCATGAATTGAGCAATTTCAATCTGATTCAGAAGAGCAACCAAAACCAAATAATGGTGGAATTATTTCTGGTTCTTTAGCACAGTAGAGTAACTACTAGTCAAAACAAACTGTGAACTATTTCAAGGTGACTAGAAGAGTAGAAAATTCCCAACACCAAAAAAAAATGATTAATAGTTGAAGAGATGGAAATGCTTATTACCCTGATTTGATTTATTATACATTGCTTATATGTACTGTATTGCCATAATAATTTACCCCATAAAGATGTACAAATATGGCCCACATGGGGGACACAAAGGATGTGAAGCTCCCTGAGCCCCCTGCATCCCTCAAGGGATGACTGTAATGCTGCTGTGATCCTTCACCTCCTGTAGATGCATCCTGACCTATCTCCACATTTGTACACTGAAGATGCAACATCTTGATTAATTTGCTTAAGGAATGTTCCTCAAATTACACCATTTTAAAATGTTTTGGCCATTGCCATGCTCTTGATTGAAAAATGAGAAAATCCTTGAAGAATGAATACCTGGAGAAGAAGAACAGCATGAAGACTCAAGGCAACGTGATGAGAAAGACATTTTTCTGTCCTCTAGAACAATCAGAAAAATGTTTCATTTTCATTTTTCATTTGTCTTGGGTGAGAGAAAGACTAAGAACTTTTGGTTGGTGTCTGAAAGAATTATTTCTTATTTGATCTCCAGAATCCTTTGACTGGAAAGTGACCCACGAGGAATCAAATCAATGGAGAAATATGAAAATCTGGATTTGGAATATTTGTTGAGCAGAGCCTTTAGTAGATCAATTCCACCAACACACCCGACTTCCTCAATGTTTCTTCCCTTTGTCTACATCCACGTAATATTTAATGATTTATCACCACCAGTAAAGTCATTTAAGCAACAAAAAATGTTCAAATATTATGTATCAATAAAAAGGAAATTGTAAAAATTTGATTCAATTAAAATTGCAAATTCAAATTCCTTTTCTTTTGATTGTAAAACTTTTTACTAGATATTTCCTGGACTATTTAATTATATGAGGTATTAAATTTCCTACTCTGCATATGCCAGTGTTGATTTTCATTTTCTGGAGCTTGCAATCAAGAGTCCTGAATACAACGTTATCAGTACATAGCTCTCCATGAACTTACAGCTCTACAGACAATAAGTTGTGATTATATTTAAAAAGATTAACTAAAACACCAAACAGTACCAACATACAAGTTCAGCTTATTAAACAATCAAAGCTAACCTTTTTACTAGGTCACATGAATAAATTTGGCTTCTGGAGTTTATATCAATTTTTAGTCAGTCCCCCAAATCTTTATCGTTTCTTCTCACCAGAGATCTATTTTCCCCAAGCCCTCGTTCTTCTTCCAAGAACTGCTTTGTTATAATTTGAATCTAGAATATCCCTCAAAGGCTCATATGAAAGTGATTCAATCATGGAGACTCTGACCTCATCAATGGATTAATCCATTGATGCCATTAACAACTTAATGGCATCAATGGATTAATTTTTGCTAAAGCCAAAATTGGGGGGAAGAAACACCTCAATCCTTTTAAGCTGCTATATATTGCCTTAAGTATGAAATATGGATACTGAAAACTATATTATTTTAGCAGTAAATAATACTTGAATAATAGAAATCACTCTGTGTGACTTCTACTTCAAAGCAGAATGAATAACATTTATCCCTTAGTAATTCTGGAAGAAAAAGTTCTTAATAATGCACATTGGAAAAATAGCATTGAGGGATACATTCTGTGAACTTACCAAGCATTTTTGTTCATACATATTGCACCAAAGGAATTATTTTGGTATCTGATTTTTATGGTTTAGATATGATGTGCTTCCCAAAATCTTATGTGTGAGACAATGTAAGGTGAAATGATTAGACTACAGAAGACTAATCTCCCTCTCCTCTCCCCACTCCCCCCCTATTGATAGGTGGTGTATACTGCAGGAGGTAGGGCCTACTTAGAAGAAACAGGTCACCAGGGATATGTCCTTGAAGGATATATCTTGTCCTCAGTACTTTTCTCAGACTCAAAGCAATACAGTCAGCCAACCATGTACTAGAACCTCTGAAACCATGAGCTAAAACAAACCTTTCCTCCTCTGCATTGTTTTTCTCAGGCATTTGTCACAGCAATAAAAAGCTAACTAATATATGCTCCTTCCCTTACTCCAGCCACATAATTCCCACAGCAACTGCCATGTTCTTAAGCCACCAAGGATAGTAGAAAATAATAGAAGACAAAACCAGTGAATGGAGAGAAACATCATTTAAGTCCTTAGACTAAAAGGGACCTGAAAGCCAGCCACATTTCCTGCACTATTTAATTATATGAGGTATTATATTTCCTATTCTGCATATGCCAGTTTTGATTTTCATTTTCTGGAGCTTGCAATGGAGAGTCCTGATACAATGTATCAGTACATAGCTCTTCATGAACTTGCAGCTCTACAGACAATAAGTTGTGATTATATTTTAAAAAATTAACAAAAACAGTACCAACATATGAGTCCAGCTTATTAAGCAATCAAAGCTAAGCTTCAAGTGCGTTAAATTCTACAAACAGCCAAATTAAAAGAACACATTCTTCTCAAATTATGTTTTGTTTTTAAGCTATGAAGTAGAACAAGAGAAAGCTTTATCTATTTCATTTTCTGAGTTACAGGAAATGAGGGTAACATTCATTTCTTTCTTAGTACACATAATGACCAGTTTCATTTCCATCAAACATGTCTATGGGAAACCCTTAACACTGACTATCAGCCTACCATCCTATCATTTGAGATGCCTGGAAAGTCTCAGTATGAAATCATGCAATATATTTGGGAGACCACAAATGTGACCCTCAAAACACTGCTCAAGCAATCAGAAAAGCAAACATTTTTGAAAATCAAGATCACCACATCCTTCTCCCCATCAGATATTTTTTGTGTGTTTTTATTTTAATTTAAGAAGATGACTCTGATGTCTCATTACTGTTTCACTAAAGCATTCATGAATATCAGAAACAAAGTAGATGATATCCAAAAGTGAATTAAAAGACCAAATAAAATTTTTGCTTAATTATGCATTAAAATTTGCTAGGAAGACACAGTTCAAAAACAAAATAAATTATGTATGAATTGAGTTATGTTACTGCTTTGATGTCAAAACCAAAATGTATCATAGAGTTCACAGGCAGAGTTGTTAGTAAATATGAGAGAGAGAGAGAGAGAGAGAGAGAGAGAAGAAATTAAGTTTGATTATTTTCATGAAAAGTTTTATCTAATTTGTTTTCCCCTTTTCTACTTAAAATTATGACTACATAAATTTGATTGTTTGAAGTCACACTTCATGATTTTAATCAATATGCAGTAAACCTTGAGGAATGAGTCTTTATATACCCCGATAGACTAGTACATAATAAAAAATAATAATGAAAATAATGAGGTCATGCTAAAATTTTATACTATGTACAATCTACCTCATGAGGGTAGGGACAGAAAGAATCTGGAAAAGTCTCTAGCAAAAATAATGGGCCTATGTAATCTTTCTCAGTCAAGGTGTCAGGGGACATGGCATTTGATCAGTGTCAGAGCAGATCATCAAGTAAAAATGAGGAGTAAGTGTATTTTAAACAGAGGGAACACAATGGTTCTCAATGACAGAGATGTTCTCCCCAGGGAACATTTGTCAATGTCTAGAGATATTTGGGGTTTACAGTGGGCAGAGGACAGGGAACTGCTAAATATCCTAAATGCACAGGACAACCATCCACAACAAAAAAATCACCTGAGCAAAAAATGTCAATAGTATCAAGGTTGAGAAACCCTAAAACAGAAGTGAAGGAGGGGGTAGAAATCAACGAATATTTCAAAGAACAGTATATCAGTTGTACATTAGTTATCTATTAGTCCTCTACAAATTACCACCATTTTTGCAGCTTAAAACAACACACATTTATTATCTCAGTAAACTTCTGAGAATTAGCAGTCTGGGCACAGATTATCTTTCTGGGTCTTCTGCTTAAGGACTGCAATCTGTTTAGAAGGTTACGAAGTTCTGGCCAGGGTTGAGAGTCTCTTCTGAGGCTTGACTGGGAAAGGATCCACTTTGAGCCACACACAGTGATTAGAAGAATTCAGTTGCTTGCAGTTCTCAGACTGAGACCCTCAGTTTCTTTCTGGCTGCTAGCAGAGGTTGCCCCCAGTTCCTTCCCATATCAGCCTTTCTAGGGCAGCTCACAACATGGCAGCTTGTTTCATCAGAGACAGTGAAGGAGAGAGCCTGTTAGATTCTAAAGATAGCTTTACACATGCCTGGCAAAAATAGGTACTGAAAAAAAATTGTTGTTGAATTAAGATGAAATAAACAACAGATCATTGACTGATTAGTGAAGCATCTTATTTAATTGCTGAGTAACCTGAAGTTTTTTAGATAAAATTGTTATGGTTTGGATATTAGGTACTCTGGAAAACTCATGTGGTAGACAATGCAGAAGTGTTCAGAGGTGAAATGATTTGATTATGAGAGCTGTACCCTCATCAGTGGATTGATACATTTGATGCAATAGTAATTTTAAAGGACTACTTAGTTGTAAATGTAAGCAGGTAGGGTATGACGAGTGACAGTAGATCACTGTCATGCCCTTGGGGATTAGATTTTTGTCCCTGGCGCTCCTCATGCTCACATTCATATTCTTTCTCTCTCTCTCTCTCTCTCTCTCTCTCTCTCTCTCTCTCTCTCTCTCTCTCTCTCTCTCTCCCCCCCCCTCTCTTTCCTGGATGCCATGAGAGGAGCAGCTTTTCTCTGCCATGCCCTCCTGCTGTGATATTCTGCCTTACCCCATGCATAGAGCAATGGAGTCAGCCAACCATGAACTGAACCTCTAAAACTGTGAGCCCAAAATAAACTTTTCCTCCTCTAAGTTGTTCTTGTCAGGTCTTTTTGTCACAGTGATGAAAGCTGACTAACACAAAATATATTCAGAAGGCTTTTAATAAAATAGAGTAAAAAATTCATAAAATATATGATGATCAACAAGAAACTTTGAAGGAAGGCACATTAAGGCTAAATCAAAATCATAATAAGAGAGCTAATATCAATTCAAGGACATCTATGCATTGGGTAATTTTTAGACATAAATGCTCATGACAAACTGCATTTTACAGATGAGAAACATGAAGCTCTAGAAGTTTGTATAACTCTAGAAAAGGCTCAAGATTGCACTTCTAGAAAACTGGAGTCAAGAGCTCAGCAGACCCTTTCCCTAAGAGACAGGGTGGGATGAGGGGAATATTAACTGGTGAAAAATATAAAAAACGAAACAGCAATTTAAGTTCTCTCATTTAAAGGAAGAAATGAAGCAATATGTTTTAAAAACAGTGTATCAGTTATCTATTACTTACTTATTCTTTAAACACTACCACAAATATAACAGCTTAAAGCAACATACATTTATTATCTCAGTGAATTGATGTGGGTTAGCAATCTGGGCACAGATTATTTCACTTGTTTTAAGAACATACATCAAATGATGTAACATTCATTCAAGAATATCTGATAGGCAAAAGGCTGTACCTTTGAGTCATGACTTGCTCCTTTGCCCTCCAGCCCAGCTCTGTATTATAGAAGCTCCACCCCAAGCCCTCTGCTCCAGGCAGGTACAGCCAAGACAGAAGTTACATCTTCCCCCAATGCCTAGTTATAGGTAGCCCCAGGAGGAGCAGGCTGGCAGCATTTCTCACCTCACCCCTCCCCAGCCCTGTGTTGCAGAAGCTCTATTTCAGCTCTATTTCTCTGTGGCAGAGAGCACAAGGACCTCCTTCCTTCAGGAAGTCCCTATATTCTCCTCACCCCAGCTTGTTCACAGTGCAGAAATTCCACACAAGAAGGACAACAAGAGAACACCAGGGCTGCCACACCTCCCCCCCGGGTCCATCTGAAGAGTGGGAGTATCA